GGCAGAGCTTGCACTGTGGATATACAGGCTTGGGACTTTCTGGGGCTGGATGGACAAATTCATGGGCAGTTGTGTAAATGGAAAAGTCAGAAGGCAAATGGGTAATGGAAGAACAGACAGGTGAATGAATGGGTGGATTTGTCATCCCACAGTGGGGGGAGGTCATGCAACCATAACTGTGGGCCCACTCTTACCTTCATAAGATCTCTGGCTTCAAACCTGCGGCTCCTTCCCCCTGCTCCAGCGCCCTTCTTAGCCGCACAGGGAATGCGCACTCCAGTTCTCTGCAGGGCTGGTGCTCAGGCTGGTTCTGCTGCTACAATCTAGCAGAACTCCTGGGGGAGGAGGCCGAGTAAAAGAAGGGGAAAATGACAGGCCTTGGAATCAAACTATCCTTGGTTATAATCATTGGCCTACCACTTATTAGCCTTATTATCTGTGTGATCTTGAGCAAGTTGCTAAACCTCTCTGATTCTTAGTTCCTTACTACATAAAATGGAGACAATGAAACCCATCTCAGGGGGTTAAATGCCATAGCACTTGAAATATACCCAGCATAGTGTCTGGTACTCAATAGATAACCTAGAGATATCTAATGAATAGAAAAATAAAAAAGTATGTTAGTTTGCTTTTTTTCATGAGCGTGTCCAAGGGCAGATAACATACTTAAATATGGTTTAGATGCTGTTGGCCTTTTCAGTTACACAAATGATTAGATAGTTATACCAACAAAGGCTCTTAAGTAATTTGCATCAGCTACAAAGGTAACTGGACCCAGTGAGGTTGCTTCCTTTCTCTACACCTCAGTTTTCCTTCCTGTAAATTGGGTCAGGTTAAATTTAAACACTGGCTGGAAGCAGAATGAGTAGAGCCCAAAGAGGTGATTGGCTAATGACCCACCTAACCCTTTACTGACCAGGCCGGAGAGGCAGCAAGAAGGGCCTTACAAATGGGTTAAAGAAGGAGCAGCTGGAGACCAAACATTACCAAATATTTTTCCCTTTTATGGGTCGGTGCTCTAGATCACCACTTCCTGGAGATTGTATTCTAAACTTTGCTGTGATGGATGCAAGGTCCGCGTGCCCACGGACTCCGGCAGAACCCAGATGTCACCCTGGGGGAGGGACTCTGCTTTTACCTTGCTATTTTAAGCAGCAAGTTTATAATAATGGATGGGAGAGAAAGCAAACGGGCCAGGAGCAGCGTGGGAATGGCCTGGGCAGGCGTGGCTGCTGGGGCTCCCCCTGAAGAGCTCGGGGCTCCAACTTGTCAAGTGTGGGACCTCAGCCAGGCTCCACTCTGCTTTGTCCTGCGGCAGCTGACACCTTTCAGTGCCGCTCTGACTTAATTTGTTTCTGTTTGACTTTGCTTTCTGACCCAGGGACTAAATTAAGGTCTTTCTTGAGGAATAGGAGGTAGAGAAAAGGAAGTGGAGACATTTCTGAAGTGTCAGAATACCTCAATCCCAGAATCCTTTGGGATGGGACCATCAAACCTGTGAACTATTGTGACTAGAAAGACTCCAGGGTGTCAGAGACTTTCAGGGTTGGAAAAGACCTCTGGAGTGGGTAGAAACCCTGTGACCCTTGCCCCAGCCATTGTTGAAACTCTCCCCAGAGTGAGGAGCTCACTGCCTTGAAGAGCAGCCCATCGCACCTTCAAACGGTTCCAACCACCAGAAAGTCTTCCCTGGCTTTGATCTGACCTTGCAGTCATTGTTCGGGGACCTGTCCTTTGGGAACGACAGAACTACATGAATGGCTTTTGAGTATCTGAGAAGAGATGTTGTTTCTCCATGTACCTTCTCTTCTCCAGGCTACACATCTCTAGTTCTTTAAACATATTTTTTGTGTCCCTACATCTTGCTTCCCCTTTTTTGAACATCACCAATTTGTCTGAATCCTTCGCAGTATACAGAGCACAATACACTTCATGCAGATTAAGACATAAAGAAAAAGTGGAACAGTCACCTCCCATGTTTTAGAAATTATACTCCTAATAAGACAACCTGGATCTGCACACACTTTATCATTTTAGGTATTTTCTTGGGCAGTGTAGCGAACCTCTGTGATAGGATTGGGTTTGTGGATACTCTTGCTATGCTGATACCAGTGCCACTGACATCCTGCTGCTGAAGTCCACGGAAAGATAATAGAAATTAACCACAGAGCTCACCTTTGTGCAAATACAAAGCTCCATTAGTTCATATAGTGACCATTTGGGATGGGAGACAGCGTGGCCTGGCCCCAAGGCTCCCATTCCTGAGAGCCAAGTTCAATGTGTCCAGTGTGGCTTCTCCCTTCCTGTCTTTCCTCCCCGCTAGGCCTCCAGCTAGTCTGTTAGGAGAAATTCCATTCAGCACGTCAGTGCTCATGGCTCAGCTCAAACACGATTTCTAAGGGAGAACCTTCACTAAAACTCGATTCTACCCATCATAATTTCCATAGTTAGGAACCTTTTTCTGGGATCCTTTTCTGGGATCCAACTTCTCACTTTCAAATTATTTACCCCATTATGCTGTTTTCCACCTGCCTCCCACCACTGGACTCTGTTTTTCTTAAAGGCCAAGGCCACATTTTTGTCATCATTATGTCACCAGCACCTAACACAGGTCCTGGTAGAGTGGGTGTAAATTGAGTGTTTGTGGTGAATGAATGAGTGAATGAATGACTCAGTTCATGGATATGCTGCTTGAGATTTCTTGAGCTGTCTAGTAGGAGTCACCTTAACTGTTTCAGAAAGGATGGGACTACCTTTCCACCACAGAGAATGACAAAAGTCAAGATGACAGTCACATCAAACAACTCCAGGGCTAAAGTTCTCTAGATTTTAAATACAACGCAAGAAAAAAAAATTTTGAATAGATCTGGTTACCCATGAGGAATCAGACCTCTGCATGCCTCCAGGAGCTCAGTTAGAGGTGCATGTGACCCATGTGGGTCAGTCGGGGCTGCAGTTGATGCCAGCTATGAGCCTGCCCCACAGCACTCTGGCTTAAGACCCTTTCCAAGCCCTTTCTGTGGGAAGGAGAGTATTTGGTCTCATGGGAGGTGGCAGGACTTCCTGACTCATCCTCCTGAGCTTCTGGCAGTCTGTACCTTGCATAAGACCCAGGACATGGCAGATACTCAGTATATGAGAGTGTCCTTTGTCCTCTGCATGTGTGTCCCAGCAGCCCCATCACTGTGGCTGAGGCCAGGGTCTCAGGATGACCCCTGTGTCTGGTGGTTTTCCTCTGCCGTCCAGCAGAGCAGCTCTGTCAGGGAACCTCTGAAACCACAGAGGCCGGCTAGATGTTGGTTCTCCAGATCTGTGAAGGTGTTCACACCCCACTAGGGGCAAGGGACCTGAAGGCGTTTAGAGGTGGGAAGAGGCCAGGCAGAGCCCTCTGGACTCTGGCCAAGCTTCCTGGACTGCAGACCTCCTGCACCCACATGGCCTCTGTGAGCACTACTCCATGCTGGGCTCTCTGCTTCATTTCATCCTTGGAACAGTCCTACGTGGGAGGCATTCTTATCTCTGTTCCCCTGACTAGGAAACCGAGGCTCAGAGGTGAAGCCAGCATTCAAGGCAACACAGCCACTGAGTGGCAGAGTGGAGACTCAGACCCATGAATCTGGTTTCAAAGCCTGTGCTCTTTCTATCTTGCTATCCCGTCTCTGCAGAGGGAGACCCAACATCACTGGTCTCCCTTTCTAGGAGGAAGCAGAGGAGCCAGACCCACTGGAGAGATCACGGTCCTAGACCTCTTGACTGGCAGGAAACATGAAAGAGCAGTTATGGCCACAAGTGACAGTACAGTAGTTACAAGTTAGTATGTACAAGTAAACTCAACTTGTACTAAATGGACTTAAACACTGAAATTTGTTTATGTAACTGGCTGGCTTAGAAAGAGTTCAGCCTGCAGGTAAACTTGGATCAGGGCTCCAGTTCCATTTCTTGGCAGGTCTGTTGGCCCTTCCCTGTCCTCTGTGTGTATCAGTTTTATCCTCAGTCTGGCCTTCCTCACGGACACAGAATGGCATCAGCAGCACTAGGTCCACATCTGCACCCTCCATAGCCCAGAGCGAGAAAACACTGCCCCATGCTCATTGGCTTAGGCTAAATCTATTGTCTGTCCCCGAGACAATTATTTTGTCAAGATCAATGAGATTATGCTGATTGGGATCAATCCCAGCCAGGCCTCAAGGCTGCTACTGCGGCATGGAGAAGGGATACGCCTGGTTCTGGGGGAGGCAACCCAAGGTTGCTCAGTGGGAGCATTGCACAAGGCATGTGAGGTGCACCCGGGCCAAGCCTCCCAAGTCACAGCTTTAGCAGGGCCAACGAGGTCCATGCTCAAGTGAGAGAGCCCTGAACTAAGGGTTAGAAGAGCTCAAGAGGGTGAGGCGAGCCATGGAGCAGGAAGTCAGGAAACACCATCTCTCCCTCTCACCCACCCAGCCAAAGGAGCCTGTGGAGTACAGTGGAAGAACCCTGGCCTCAAAATCAGAGAGATCTGGATTCAAATGCTTGGTTCTTTATATGAATTAGACAAGTGGCTGCCCCTCTCTGAAGCAGTTTTCTCACCTATAAAATGTGAATGTTAACACATGCATCAGAGGTCCTCATGAGTATTAAATTAGGCGCTGTTGGTAGTGCTCCTACTAGGATAGTGTCTAGCACCAGTTAGTGCTCAGTAAATGGTGTCCATCTGATCCCAAAGGAGTGTCCTCCATGAGCTGTGGTTCTGAAGAGGCAGAAGCACTTTTCTCCCTTCCAGCATAGTTGTGTTTACTGCAAGGACCAAATTAGATGCAAAATCTCTAAGGCCACCTCTGACTTTGTAAACAGTGCTAGTGAACAGAAGGAAATTCAATTCCAAATGCCTTTTATTCCCACCTCTGCTGTTGACGCAAACTCAAGCAGGCTCTCTCTGCCGCTCATGATCCCTGGAAATGGAACCCAGCTTGGGCCAGGGATGGGAGTGGATTTGACTTGTCCTTTTGGCATCTCCTCAGCCTGCGGAGCCCAGGCCTCTTGGAGCATCTTTGGGGCTGACACAGCAGAGGTTCCGGGCACCTGCGGCCACTCCTGTCAGAAGGCTGCCATGCCCCACATTCCTGAGGATGAGGAGCCCCCCGGAGAGCCACAGGCAGCCCAGAACCCCAACAGCCAAGTAAGTGCCCCCTCCCTGCCTTCGGCTAGCCTGGCCAGCGTGAAGCGAAGTGGCCTGGACTGAGGCCACAGTGTCCAGACTGGCCAGAGACTTTGCTGATGCCTGGGAAAGGTGTGCAGCACCCGCAGTGGGGAGTAAACACACAAAGTTCCTTTGAATTGCCCAAGGCCCCCCACAGCCTGAGAGTGGAACCCCCTGGGCTGTGTCTGACTGAGGCCTCCTGGGACGTCCAACTACCCTGACCCTGGAGGCCCCCTCCTGGAAAGGAGGAAGCCTTGGAGGAGAAGCTCATCATGCCAGGGTCATGAGCACCAGCAAGAGTCACTTAAAGTGGATCTGCTTAAAATGACAAAATTTTCATAGTAAATAGTGAGAAAGATTCTCAACAAAATTATATTATATAAAAGGAAATGATGAAAATAAGGCAATTTAAAGGGTCTCATTGAGATTGTACTGTATAAATGAAATTATAAAAGCAAGTTATTTTTAGCTACATACACTACAAAATATAGATTATATGTCACTTTTTAGAAAAAGTTTTTAAAGATTCTATTTTATTTTCAGACAGAGGGAAAGGGAGGGAAAAACGGAGGGAGAGAAACATCAATATGTGATTGCCTCTCACATGCCCCCCTACTGGGGACCTGGTCTGCAACCCAGGCATGTGCCCTGACTGGGAATTGAACCAAAATGTTGACCCCTTGGTTCACAGGCTGGCACTCAATCCACTGAGCCACACCAGCCTGGGCTATATGTCACTTTTTAGAATGAACAAAAACTCAAGTGTATTGATTTTGATCTGCGTATATTTTTTTATATCAACAAGATGATCTGTTCACATGATACCTCTTCCTTCACATTTTACTATATAGTGTCTTCATTAGGAGATTCTGGTGATTTAGTATGTAAGATCTTCATTTATTTTCTCAAGGACCTCTTTCAACACTTCAATATTAAAATCGTTCTCTTGTGAAGAACCTATCTTACCACATCCTCATAGTTTTGTTCTTCATTTGTTAACTAATCCAGCTCCATCTGGTCCTCATTGGTCCAAGACCTTGCATGTACAGCTCTCTAACCTTGTTTTCTTTCATCTCATGAACTTTGCAGTGTGTTTGCACTGAATTTGTATCATCCTGTTATATCTGACAGTTGCCTCAACTGCCCTCAACCAAAAGAGATAGATACTTGGTAAGTGAGGGAAGAAGATATGAGTGACAAGTGAGAAGATTCTTAGTGAATATCTTCATGTTAAGATGACATTTGTTTTCTCACACATCGTAACTCTGGGAACATAGATAATAAATATTTAGAAAAGAATGGCCTCTTGTATCTCCATATCACAAGCTCATGGTGTTTCAGAAACTTGGCAGCCTTGGGAAGCCCTAGGCCAAGTTTGACAGTGGGCCAAGCCCCCATGTCTTTGGCTGAAGGCAGCCAGCTCAGGGTTTTATGGAGAACCCCTCCCAGGAATGTCTTGGGCCACAGAAGGCACTGCTCCTCAGTTGCTTTCAGTGGCTCCAAATTGCTCCTCTGCAAAATATTCACATCCGGAGCCAAATGTGACTGCTCCCAGTCCTCAGGTCACTGTTGTCCAGGGTTCTGGCCCCTGAGCATGCCTATCCCTCAGTCCTGGACTCTGCTGTGGCTATCGCCGACCACTTCCATCCACGTCACTAACAACGGCAGAGCCCTTAAGCCAGATTCTGGTGCAATATCTAGCTCTAAAATCCTGGGCAACTCCCCCAAACAGCTGCCATACTGTGCTCCCCAAGAATACAAGTGCTCTTAAAAAGCCCTGGCCAGTGTGGCTTAGTTGGTTAGAACATCATTCCATAACTGAAATGTTGTGAGTTCAATTCTTGGTCAGAGCACATACTTGGTTTCAGGTTCAATCCCTGTTCTGGGCACAGGTGCCTGTGAGCCCCCGTCTGATGTGTAGGATCCCCAGTCTGGGCATCAGTCCTGGCCTGGGCACGTGTGGGAGGCAACCAATCGATGCTTCTTTCTTTCATCAGTGTTTCTCTCTTCTTCTCTCTCTCTAAAAGCAATGAAAAAAGTGTTGTCAGGTGAGGACTTTTAAAAAGTATTCTTAAATAATAATAATAATAATAATAATAATAATAATAATAATAATAATAAATGGACAATGATGAAACTCCACCCTCCGTGAAGAGATCCTTTTACATTCAGTTCAGTTCATCTTGGTTCCCAACTTCTCCACAAGGAGACACAAAACCAGACAGCACAAAAGCCTACCAGACCTTCTGACCATCACAGCTTCAAGCTACACATAGGTGCAGCTCCACTGTGTCAGAGGTGAGGGTGAGTTTTTAGGGGTGGCCAAGCAAGGTAAGGGCTTCATGAGCCCATCACATAGTTGAGGGGCAGAGAACCCCAGTGGAGTACCTGGAACTCCAGATTCCTTGTCCCTGCAAGCTCACTCTCCCTGTGACCTTGAGCTAGAACCAGACTTCTATAACATGAAGGAGTGGGACCCCATGGTCTCTAAAGTTCCTTTAAATGCCATGAATCTAATTCTGTGTTGGGAGATGCCAAGAAAGTAAGAGACTGTGAGTCTAATGGCTTTGACATTGACAGAGACCAGCAGGAGAAGGACCAATGAGGAATTCAGGTGATTCAGAGCCAGGATGCCCAGGTCTTATAAGGAAGGACCATTAGCACAGGGTTTAAGAATGGGGATTCTGGAGTCACACCAAGCTAAGCTCCTCCACATCCTGGCCAAGAGACCCTGTGTGAGTCTGTTAAATTTTCTGTGCCTCTTGTTCCTCAATGTTTCCCTGGGGCAACTGTTAGTAGCTGGCTCCTAGACTCTGTTCAGCCAGCCTTTGTGTGCCTTCTTTGGGCTGAGAGACAAGAGAGCTCAGGCTGAAGACCACATCGGATTCAGTATTCTTTTATTCTCTGCCCTTACAAACAGACACTGGGCCTCCCTGAGCTCTCCAGAAGCTCATAGTCATTGTCAGCGAAGAGCATCTCCCTCTATTCCACCCATCAGACAACCCTTGTCAGGAAGCCACAGCCTGTGGGGAGCCTACAGGGGCTGGAGCCCGAGTCCCTGGGAGCAGCGGAAACCAGGCAGCCAGGGAAGTAGGGTTGGCCAGGAGTGCTTGGCTAGAACTCTTGGTGGCGTGTGAATTCCCATTCTGTGAAGCAGGCAAAGAATGGAGCATCCTTCTGAGTTTACAGCTCCCCGGGGTCCAGCCCTACTTCTGGTTCCTCAGGCCCCAGCCCCCATTTCCCATGATAGACATGAGCGCTAGCTGAGCCCTTCTCACACAAAAGCACTAAAGCAGGAGACCTAGATTCTGTTTTTCTTTCTGCATGCACACACACACTCACATGCACAGAATCTCACACACACACATACACACACGAATATAGACACACAGACACTCTCACACATACACATGCACACAGACACACAAACAGACTTTCACACACACACACACACACACACACACACATGAACATACACACATGCACATACACTCTCAAACTCTCTCTCACACACACATCCTTTAGGCCCCTAATCAGGAGCTGTAATCAAAACTCACAAAGAACTGAAGCCTCCCGACAGCACACTCTGTGACTGTGCCCTGAGCGGTGCTTTCTGGGATGGCCTTGGAACAGGGAGGGGCACCTCCCTGGAGACCCCTTGGAAATGTGAGCTCCCTCAGTGGGGGGGCAGTCCCAAATAAGCAATTCTCTCTGGCAGGATTGAGATGAAGACAAAAAATGTATTACATGTAAAACACTCAGAACCCGGTGAGGACTGTGCAGGGTGGGGACACCTCCCCAGCTCCCCCAACGAAAGCCCTCACGCCATATGCTTCCTGTGTGGCAGACACAGTTCTAAGCACTTAACACATCATAACTGCACCACCCTAGGAAGGAGGTGTGATTATTACCCCATTTACAGATGAAAAAACTCTGGTGGGCAAGTAAGTGTACGCTAATCACTAGAAACTGGGCAGGGCTTTGAAAGCTTCAATTGTTTAATTCATCGTCCCTGAGCTCATTTCCACCTACCTCATTACACCCTTTGTGAGAATAGCCTCAGTTAAGATCATCAATGAAATATCTTTAAATATGTTATCAGTAAAACATTAAGACCTGGTGTGTGGGTGTATGAGATACTGGGGACATCTATTGGGCACCTGCTATATGCTCATCCCTTCAAGGAACATATCACATCTCTATTTTATAGAAGAAAGGAAGTCTCCTCGAGGTTATGTAATTGTCAAAGGTCACATAATTGAGTCCTGGTTGAGTGGAGATTGAAACTCAGGCTTCTGTGGAGGTGTTTCTGCCAGCTTTGCCCCCCTTCTGGGGCCCCACTCCACAGTAAAGTCAGTGTCCTGGACACCAGACCCCCCACCCCCCCCACACACAGGATGAGGAGCAGGTACTTGATGCCTCGTTCTCTATAGAGAAGAAGCTGGAAAAGGTCAAGAGGACAGTTCCACCAGGATGGCTTCCAGTAGTTCTGGTCTTCTGAGCTATGATATTGCCACTCTATAAGTGGCTAGGACAAACCAGAAAGCATTTTAGAAATGTTGGCTGTTACAATGGTCAGGAATGTATGTTATAATTGTTTGCCCTTCGTTCCTCTTGTGAACAATGGAGTAGCTTGTCATTGTTGTTTCCCTGATTCTCCTGTCAGACTCCATGGGAGCTGCTTAGGGTCGGGAGTTGTGTCTCTCATGTGCGTTTCTCCAGTTTTCAGCATAGGCTGTAGCATGTGCTGGTTGGTTAGGGGAAGATGGGTGGATGGATGGATGGATGGATGGATGGATGGGTGGGTGGATGGGTGGATATATGGGTGGATGGATAGGTGATAGGTTGGGTGGATAACAGGCTGGCTGGATGATTACGTTCCTGGACTGAAGAGAGGGAGGAATGGAAGACAGAATGGTGTTAGGAAAGGAGGGAAGAGGAGATGATAGAAGATGAAGATGGATGAATGACAGACTAGCTGAGTGATATGCTTTCCGTGGAAGTAAGGCTAATAATACACAGTGTGTGCACTTCGGTACTCTTGAAATCTGTTGGTGTGAGAGTCAAAATGGTGATGAAGAAGGCAGGATAATCAGTGGTTATTGAGCCCCAATCTCTAAGAACAGAGTGGACAATGGCAGGGAGGAAGGCCCACCAGAAGCAGGGTGGGGTGTGGGTGCACGGGGGAGGGAGCATCTACTGGGGAGGCTCTGGGGAGCCTTCGCAGCCCCGGGACTAGTCCTCTGTGCTTGGCAGCGAGGAGCAGAGACATTTCTGTTCCCTCCGTGCTGTTGGGACTTGCCTCTGGAATAATCATTTTCTTGCAAGTCCCCAGAGAGTCTTTTTACCCCGTCAGAAGAGCAGTGATTCCCTCTGCAGCTGGGCCCTCTCCCCAGAGGCAGTCCCTGTTTGCCCTCCAGGCTGTGAGAGAGGGACCTGGGGATGCAGCCACCATAGTGTCCACCCTCCACCACCGCCTCCCCGTCAGCATTGTTACTACTTTATCTTGTCAAATCCTTCAGACAAGCCTGGAAAATGAGGATTGTGAGCTCCACACAATGTTTGAGAACATGAAACGCACAGAAGCTAAGTAACTTGTCCAAGGTCTCCCAGGTGGGATATCAGCCTAGGCTCCCTAACTTCACTGCCCCACACAACCTTTTGGCAGCGGGGTCCTTCTCTCTGTGGGGGGCCCAAGTGCAGGAGCTAAACTCCCCACTCCTGCCAGCGTGGGGCTGGGGCTTACAGCTTCCTAGCCCAGGCCCAGTCACGTGACATTGGGGAACGGAAGATAATATTCCCGTCTATGACACTGGCCTATATTTATCCCTGTACCCAGGCAGTTAGGAAACTGTTGTGCATTCCTGGGAACTTAAGAGTGAAATAAACATTTAAATGTTTCTATAAGTTTATTTAAGGAGAATAAAATGTGACCTGCTGGCTTATTATAGGGTGGGGGAGCTTGGGGGAGATGGCCCAGTCCCCAGTGCTCTGCTGACTGCAGGGAAGGGAATGGATTTCTGGGGAGGCTGGGCCCTTGGAAGGGTGAGGGGGTGCCCCTGCTATCTTTACTTAACTGTGTGTTCAGCCTTGTTCTGTGAGGGCTGCCTGGAAGAAGGGGCTTATGAGGGAGGGTGCAGCTTGGAAGAACTAGAAAGGTGGGTTGGAAACCTGTGTGTCAGCAGGAAGAATCAGGGAGGTGAGACCAAAGACCCGCAGATGATGGTAAGGAGTGGCTTCTGTAGTGGGAAGGCCAGCAGGCCTAGTGGTTAGTCTCTTCCACTACTTACCACCTGCACAGCCCTGCACCAGGCTGATTTTCCATTGGTAAGGTAGGGATTGAACCAGGAAAGGGAGGAAAGAAATGTACCAATCACCCACTTCACGGCCAGGGCCTTCACTTTTTCTTCCCATTTCCTCTTCATGATTCTATGAGGTCGGGAGGTATTATCAACCCCAATCTGTGAGTTTCATTCACAGGATTGCTGGTAGGAATGAATGAGTAAACACACGGAAAGTGTCTGGGACAGGGCCTAGCACACAGCAGGTCTGAGACAATGTCACTTCCCTCTACCCACGTTTGTTCCTTTGCTTCTCTCATCTGAAAGCCGTGAGGGCAGGTGTACTTGGTCTGAGAAGCAGATGGTGAGAGAGGGCATGGAGCCAGGTGGACATGGCCTTGGAGGTGGGCTTCTCCGGGAGTCATCGATTGCTCAGTCTTGTGTGCTCAGACACCTAGAGGAGGTGCTTTCTGGCTGTACCAGAAAGGCTGGGCCCCACCAGAAAGGCTAGCCCCCTAATTTACCTCCAAATGATTGCTCAGACCCAAAACTGAGAGGGGCAATTTTTTTCAAAACCCAATTCCAAAGTAATGAATTGAGTCCCAAAGGTAGCAATAACAGAATAATATCTTACACTCACTGAGCATTTATAAGGGGCCAGGTTCCCCACAAGCTTTCCATCTGGAGCTGCCAGATTTAACAAATAATAGAGTTATGTCCATGCAATATCTGGGGCATACTGACACTAAGAAATTACTCAGTGTTCAACTATAACTGGGCATCCTGTGTTTTATCTGGCAACCCTATTTCTGTATCAACCTGTTTAATTCTTTTAACTACCCGGTGACAGTTATTTTATGGATGAGGTAACCAAGGCACAGAGAGTCAAGGGAACTTGCTCACATCCACACAGCTAGTAAGTGAAAAGATGTATCATGAATCAGCCTGGTTCCCAAGACCGAGGCCCTTGAAGTCCTGAAGCCAGTAATTTGCCTGGGGGTTTGGGCAAACTGCCCAGCAAGCTTCCTTCCTTCCCATCCTGCCTCTGTTTGGCAGGTCAGAGTGGAAGCAGTGGAGGGTATTTACACTGCGTTAACACCCTGCAGAAGTCACCCCAGAGGGCCCCTGAGTCGCCCCACACCCTCCACTGGATCACTGTTTCCCCAGAGTGAAACCCAGCCCATACAAGACTGAATGTTCCCTACAAAACAGCGTTGAACAAAACTAGAGGTTGTACAAAACTTGCTCAACCATTCCGTGAGCTGATCAGGGAAAGAACACTGATTTTATCACTGTGCATTTTGTATGCTTTGGAAGGAGAGAGTGAGGAGCCATCCAGAACATTCCATCAGGATACAGGATTTCTCCCCGATTGCTTCATGCCTCTTGGCATTTAAACAACTTAAAATTGTGTGGTTACATGCTTGGCATTTGCCATCAATGGTTTGTTTCTGTCTTTCTGTGTGGGCACCTCTGCCCTAACCCTTCTCCAAGTGAGGGTGCCTGCAGCCCCATGGGCGGCAGCCACCTCAGGAGAGCTTTGCTGCAAGTGGCCTTTAGCAAGAAGGCAGAGAAAACTTTCACCAGAAAGTAGCTCCTCCAAGGGCTTTGCAGGCCATTGACCTCACTGGTGTCAGCACTGGGGGAACCAGGTCCTGGGTGCTACCTAGGGATGGGGTGGGTACTTCCACCCCATTTGCCATCCCATTGTGCTAACTGGAATGCATTGCTGCGGCCTGGTTCACCTTTGTCTTCCAGGCCCTGCCATACACCTCAACACATAACATGCATTCAGTAAATGTTTGCAGGATGGACAGAACAAAGCATAATAATGTGAAAATATTTACAGATTGAGCCCTTTCTTACAACCTAAGACTTTTGGAAACTTTTGTGAGTCAATCATAAAGAGAAGAGTCAAGACAATCTGCTTAGTAAATAATGGGCTGGAGCATGAGTAAACCGCGAGGGAAGGAGGGAGGGAAAGAGAGAGGACTTGGGTGGGGAGGGTAAGCAGGGGAAGAGCCAAAGTGGGGAGGACAGGCACAGATGGTGGGGGGAGATCCATTCCCCTGTCGTGCCCTTTGAGAGGTGAGAGTGAAGACTGAAGTTCTTTTTACACTTTTTTTTTCTTGTCTGCTGAACAAGTCTTTAACACTTTTCTTCCTGGAGCCTGGACCACACGGACCGCAGCTTCATTCGGTTTCATGTTAAATGGTTTAACCTCAGAGTCAAACCATGGATGGTTAGAAGGGGTACGCATTTCTGTTTATCAGCTAGGGGTGTTTCTACCAACCAAGTCATTCAATGCTTTTTATAGTCTCAGCTCATGGTTTTATATCTTCCTCTTCATTGTTGATTACTTCAAATTGCTTTAGGAAATAGGTAGTGTGTCAACAAAATAAAACAAATAAACTCTATTTTACTTAGTTAGCAGCCTGAATATAGTCAGCTCCTGGAAATGGGTATAAAGATAACCCCATCGCCACCACCATGATTGCTTCTTTTCAGAACACAACCTGCGAAAATTAAAGATTGGCCCCTCCCACCCCTTTACCTAGACCTAGCCCATCTGCACCAAAGCATGCTGGGAGTTTGTGTAAGCCTCTCTCCAAGAGAGGACAGAAACCATATGATATAAAGAGCATGCAAATGATATTTTAGCCAAAGTACATTTTTTTCTTGTTCACTAAAGGATTCATACAAGAAGAAAATATAAGTATGACAAACATGAATACATTTGGAGCTCAAACTTTCATGATCAAGATAAATCCCACCCAGGGAAGGGACCTCACACATACTGCAAGCACAGTCGGTATTTCAGTGGACATGCCTGTAGTCATGGACACCCACGAGGCCACACGGGAAAGAAGCTCCATCACGGTGATGTGGGAATTGTACCAGATGAGTGAGTCCTAGAAACCTAGGTGCCTGGAGTTAATGATACTATATTGCATACCTAAAAATTTGCTAAGGGGGTGGATTTTATAAGTGTTTTTATCATCATTGTTATCATAAGTAAAAGGCAACAGGGAACTTTTGGAAGTGATGAATAGGTTTACATCATAGATTGTGGTAAGGGTTTCATGGGTGTGTCCTCTCTAAACTCATCCAGTTGTATACATTCAAAATGTACAGATTTTTGTATGTCAATCACACCTTAATAAAGTGGTTTAAAAAGAACAAAGATGACATGGGCAGAGAAAGTTTTACGTACATTTACCCAAATGTAGGACTGTCACTGAATATCAGGAATGTGTGGGTCCTGCCACCTCTTCTCCTGACCTTCATCTTCCCCAGCCAGGCTGCAGCAGGTGGCAACATTTCTCTCTGGATTGTCAGTGAGTTCCTAGGTTGTCACCATGGAGGGCTTAGAGATCCCCTAATCTTAGTGCATGAAAAGTGGACCTTGATAAGCTCAGGTGAATGCCTTCTGGGGAATGAAGGAGAAACTGGATTATTCTCTGAATATTCCAAATAAACTATATTCATCCCCTTATTAGGATGGCTCTGAATTTCATGATGCCAGAATAAATGCCCCAGCTCCTGGAAGCTTCCTCCATTCCAAGCCTAACTCCATCTGTGTTTTTGTTCTAAACTACCAGGGCCCTCCAGCCAAGGGAGTATCTTGCAGCCCACCCACCATTGTCCTGACTGGGGATGCCAGTTCACCAGAGGGAGAAACTGACAACAACCTGGCCAACAGGTACATCCCAGGTGCCTGATCTTTGTGCTGTGAAGAACAGTATTTCCTAGCACACAAGGATTAGACAGCTATATTTTTATAAATCTTTCCTTCTTTCTTGAATCATTTTATTGATGAAAATACATTCAAGTAACTTTTCAAATGTGAGAGAGAATTTGAGATTTTTCATTATCTTCTCCCCTCCCCAAAATTATTTTTCCTCTCCTGGATGTGGCTCTTTATAGTCTGCTAGCCTTTAAGAAAGGCATGAATCAGGCCAAGATGGAGGCATAGGTAGACACACTGTGCCTCCTCCCACAACCAAAATAAGCTCAGCAACAATTTAGAAACAAGATAACAACCAGATCTGATAGAAAATTGAACTGTATGGAAGTTGGACAACCAAGGAATTAAAATATACACATTCATCCAGACCAGTAGGAAGGGCTGAGGCAGGCAGCCAGGTGGAGAGGGGTCGTGGCACAAAAAATGGTGGCACTAGGCCTGTAAGACATCCTGGGCGCAAGACTGCAGCAGGCCGACCCTGGGTGCTCAGGCGTCTGGCAGACCCAGTGATGAGGCAACTGTGGAGCGAGGCACTGCGCACAAAGCGCCTGGCTGTCCGGGTGATCCTACATTTGCATGCAGATAAACCAGGTGAAATTGGGCTATGAGACAGACCGCCCAATCCGGGGTCCCAGTGCCAGAAAATAGAGTCCCAGGACACTGATTGAAAACACCTGTGAGGGTTGAGGCACAGGTGTTTTCAATCAGTGTCCCAAGATACTATTTCCTGTCAGCTTCACAGGAGAGTGCATTGGAGAGACCCACAGGGTCCTAGAATGTGCACAGGCCCACCCACATGGGAATCAGCACCAGAAAGGCCCAGTTAGTTCAGGGGAAGCAGCAGAATGGACTGAAATCTGACGGAGAGCGGAACAAGCACCATTGTTCCCTCTCAGACCCCACCCCCACATACAACATCACAACCCTGCAACTGGGTTGCCCCGCCCTGGAGAACACCTAAGGCTCCACCCCTCATACATAACAGGCACGACCAGACATAATAATAATAATAATAATAATAATAATAATAATAATAAAAAAGAGGTCCAAATGGAAGATCAGATCAAAGCTCCATAGCAAATACAACTAAGCTACCAAGAGATAGCCAACCCATCAGATACACAGTTCAAAGCACTGGTGATCAGGATGCTCACAGAATTGGTTGAATTTGGTTGCAAATTAGATGAAAAAATTATGGCTACAATAAGTGAAATGAAGAAAAATGCACAGGGAACCAGTAGTGATGGGAAGGAAACTGGGACTCAAATCAATAGAGTGGACCAGAAGGAAGAAAGAAACAACCAAACAGAAAAGATGGAGAAATAAGAATTCAAAAAAAAATGAGGAGAAGCTTAGGAACCTCCAGGACATCTTTAAACATTCCAACATCCGAATTATAGGATTACCAGAAGGGGAAGAGGAAACACAACAAGTGGAAAAGTTATTTGAACAAATAATAAAGGAGAACTTCCCCAGTCTGGCAAAGGAAATAGACTTCCAGGAGGTCCAGGAAGCTCAGAGAGTCCCAAAGAAGCTGGACCCAAGGAGGAACACACCAAGGCACATCATAATTACATTAGCCAAGATTAAAATTAAGGAGAGGATCCTAGAAGCAGCAAAAGATAAGGGGACAGTCACCTACAAAGGAGTTCCCATCAGACTGTCAGCTGATTTCTTGAAAGAGACATTACTGGAAAGAAGTATTCCAAGTCATGAAAGGCAAGGACCTACATTCAAGATTGCTCTATCCAGCAAACCTTTCATTTAGAATGGAAGGGTAGATAAAGTGCTTCTCAGATAAGGTAAAGTTAAAGGAATTCATCATCACCAAGCCCTATTTTATGAAATGTTAAAGGGACTTATCTAAGAAAAAGAAGATAAAAAGCATGTATAATAAAATGACAGCAAATTCACAATTATTAACAACCACACCTAAAACAAAAACAAACTAAGCAATCAACTAGAACAGGAACAGAACCACAGAACTGAAGATCACATGGAGGGTTAGCAACAAGGGAGTGGGAGGAGGAGAGAGGGGGAAAAGATACAGAGAATAAATAGCATAGATGGTAGGTAGAAAATAGACAGGGGGAGGGCAAGAACAGTATAGGAAATGTAGAAGCTAAAGAACTTATGACACATGGACATGAACTAAAGGTGGGGAATGTGGGTGGGAGAGGGTATACAGGGTGGAGGGGAGTGAAGGGGGGAAATGGGACAACTAATAGCATAATCAATAAAATATATTTTAAAAAAAGAAAGGCATGAATCATAGCAGAGGAATCTCCTATATAAGAGCTCAGGTATTTGCAAACAGACCTGGAAGATATGAGTCTTTGAATGTAGGATCCTGCCCCTGGCCAAAACGGGTCCTGTGTGGAAGATGATCTCTTGGGAGGGACATTGGCTCCCATGCTTGGGGATATCACTACCTTCGTGTTATAGCACTAGCCTAGTCACTAATCTAGCTAGAATGAAATTGCCTAAGTACTATTTCCAAAATGTTGCAAAGATAATTCTCATGCAAATATATAGTGAGCCTGTGTCAAAGCTATATTTAACTCATTAATGAGGGACCCATCATCAGGGTAACAAAGCCATTTCAAAGGAGGATATAAGAAACAGATATGCATATATAATCAGTGGGGCCAAAAAGAATGGTGGAATGAAATTGCTAGGTTGGTTATGATAAAATAGGTGAATGTTCCACAGGGCAATGAAACCATGTTTTTACCTTTTCACCTAAGCAGAAATCATCTGCATCTCTACCAGATGACAATTATTCATATCTTATGAGTTTTCTATAAGTTAGATGTTCACTCAGTCTGGGTCCTAATAAATAGCAAATAGTCAAAGCTACATCTCGCTAGGGCGGTGGTTGGAAAACTGTAGCATGCATCAGATCCTCTGGGGAGCCTGTCCAATCACAGATGGCTGGGCCTCACCTGAGTTTCTGATCTGGTAGGTCTGGGGTGGAGCCTGAGAATTTGCATTTCTAACAAGTTCCCAAACTTAGAAAAGCTAGTAAGGTGATGCTCTCATATGGCTCTGAAAAAAAAAATAAACAGGCATCTGTTTTCCTATTTCCAAGCTGTGGACCAATTTTCTTAACAAGATGTCTCTGTTCTTTCAGAGCTCACAGTCCCCACCGGAGGCTTTCTCACCGACACTTGAAGGTTTCCACGGCTTCCCTGACTTCTGTGGGTAAGGGCAAGGCCAACTGATCTTATTCCTGCAACTAGGCATAGGGGTCCAGCCAGAGGTGTGTCTGAGTAGAAAGACTGAGGTCTGGCAGTTGGGCCGGGCCGGGCCCCTTACCCTCTCCTGCTCCTCAGGCAGTCCCATCCCTATGAGCCCAATAGAACAAAGTCAGTCAGCCCCTCAGTGTTTGAGCCCAGAAGAGGTATGATGTCTCATCTCTGTATCTTTTGGTAAAAAGACAAGACCTGGGTGTGATGAGGCAGACAATGAAGTAAGTTGAAGGGAGACAGAAGAGCTGCATGAGGCTCAGTTTCAAGACTCAGGGAGCCCAGTCCTCCGCACCTCAGGCAGGCATGTGCCCAAATGTAAAGCTATCCCAATGGCCCCTTGGGGCCTGCCTTGGACTGTCAGAGCACAGGTATGATACAGACTTGGTCCCCTTGGCCTTCATGTTACTCATAGTCTGTGAAGACACTGAGAAGTGGACAGATATAATCAGGACGTTGTATTGTAAGACCCTTTGCAGAAGTGTTAAGGAAATGGAGGCAGGAAGGGGCCCAATTCTTCTTGGAGAGGGGGAAGTTCAGATAAGTATTCCAGAGGAGAGAATATCTGAGTGACCTTAGCAGGTTGGAGAGATAGACAAGAGGGAGGAAAGGCATTGCGTTCCAGGTAGAAGAAGCACCATGCTAAGAGCAGAAGCCATACAGAGCAACTGAATGTCTGCTGTGTGTATCACTTGGGGCCCTCAAATGATAGAAATCCAATCCAAAAGAGCTTAAATCAAAAGAAAAAATTAAAATGAAATCATTAAAAGTAAAAAATCAAAATGTGGTTTCAGGTAGTGCTGAATCCAGATGCCCAAGTTGGATCATTAGTAATTGTCCCATCCCATCTCTCAGGTCTCCTCTCCAACGAGAGTTCCTCTTTCCCACTATCCAACACAGTGCCCAGGATTGCCTCTCACTGACCTCCCATGGCCATCCCCGAGCCAGTCCCTGTGGCCAGGGGCACTGAACTCATTGACTGGTTGGGGCTGGTACACAGTCCCACTCCTGGCACTTGAGGTGAGGTGGGGGGCGGGATTAGCCCCTTCCTGACTAACGTAATTGAGAAGGATTTCATTCAATGCAAACTGGGAAGCTACAAACAGAAGGGGGAATGGAAGTTAGAGAGGCACAGTGGGAGCCATTCACCACCGAGGGGCTGGAGGGAAGTGACCACAGGAGGAGTACATGGGGTCAGCAAAAGTGGCTGGGCCCAGTCTGGCATTTGGACATCACTCCATGAAGAGTCCTGACGAGGTGAGGCAGGAGGATGGCATGGTCAGATATGGCTCTGAGCAAGGTCACTTTGATAGTCAGGGGAGGATGAGAGGGAGGGGATAGCCTGAAGGTGGGGGTGCCTATGAAGTGGCTGACATAATTGTGCAGGTAAAAGCTAATGAGCAAGAATGGGGATGAGGGGCACGGTCCAGGGATAGGTACTCATAGAGCATGAATGATCATCGGGACTTGCTGGTCAGATGGTTGCATTGGAGGGGCTGAGGGAGAGGGAGGGGTGTGGAATGGCTCCCATCTCCCATGTTTCTGAGCAGATGGGTGAGAGGTGGTGCTGTTCACCCAGAGAAGGGGCAGCTTGGAAGAAGAATGGGGGTAAACAATGTGAGTGGAGGAAAGAAGGGAGAGAAGGAGGCCATGGGATTGTGACTTTGGCCCATGAGTGCCCCCTTTAGCTACACACCTTGAGTTCACTAGCTTGTTGAAGAAACAGAGTCTTGGGGGCTGACCTTTCCCTAACAGCAGAGTTTAAGACAGTACTGGGAACCTAGGTGGCTTCATGACCATTTGTGACAGGACCTGCCACAGCCACAGGCTACAACCCAGAGAGACCAAACCTGCTGAGGAAGCCAGATCTGTCCCCACTCGGCTCTCTTCACAGCCCAGCGCTGGGCTGAGGTTTGGCTGGCTGAGTCTGCTCTGGCAGCCTCCCTGCGCTGGGGTGTGGAGTGGCAGGGCCTCTCACCCTATGCTTACCCTCCATCTGAAGACCCTGCAGGGCATGTCATTGACCTAGTAAATGACCAGCTGCCAGACATCAGCATCTCAGAGGAGGACAAGAAGAAAAACCTGGCTCTGCTGGAGGAAGCCAAGCTGGTGAGTGAGCGATTCCTGACCCGCCGTGGGAGGAGGTCCAGGAGCAGCCCCGGAGACTCCCCGTCAGGTAGGCTGTACAAGGGCTGCCCTGAGTTCCTCTGAGGAGGCCTGGGAGGGGAAGGGCCAGGCCCCAGCTGCACCAGGAGCCCTGCTTTCAAGGGGTGGGCTTTGACGCGCAAGTCCCCAGGCCTCTGGGCCCAGCAGGACCAAGCTTTAGGAGAGGATCCTGTGAGGAGAGAACATCTTACCCCACCTCAGAAGCTTCAAAATAATGACCCAACTCTAGCCAGAAAGCTCTGCTTTTTGTTTTTGGGGCTTGTGTGTGACCATTGTGTCTTACTGTCTTACTGTTTCTATAAGAAGTGCCAGCCCATGAACCTTCGGGGCCTTCCCCAGCTCTGACTCTTACAGAGAGAGAAATCCTCTGTGTGATGCTGGTGCGCACAGACCCCTGGGGCATCTGCATGGACAGAGTCTCTATGACTGCCCCCCCACCCTTTCCCAGGAGATACTGCTCTGTGGGCACCTCCTCTGCAAGGGTCTGGAAGGGCCGGCACTGCCTCTCCCCGATTTCCAGCCATGGGCTGTGGGAAGGATCCTAGGCACTGTGGGGGAGAGGGGAGGTGGTCTTTGGTGTCCTTACGGAATTTCTGGATTAGAAGAAAAGTGTTCCTGGGCCCTGAAATCCACCCTGCTATACCTTTGGCTAAACTTGCTCTTTTTCCTGAGTGAAGAGCAGACAAGTTTTAGACAAGTCTGCATGTACTGAGGAGGCCAGGGGAGGATTTGAAATCAGGGCCAACCTGTCAAGTCTAGGAGGTACAGCCTTTGCAGTTGGCCCTGCTGGGCAATGCTAGGTCCTCTGTTTCTACAAGGTACTTTGAGGTCAAGCCATGCAAGCTGAGGACTGTGACCCCAGTCCTCACCCCTGCAGGTGATCCTGGGGCCCCCTCTGTTGGGCTGGCAGCAGGGAGGCACTGGGCTATGTATGGTAGGACCCTTTTACAGCAGTCCAGAATCAGCCTCTGATCTCAACAAGGAAGACCCAGTTCTCAGAGGTCAGAAAATGCTGAAAAGATGTCTTTGTTAAACTGAAGTCCTAAACCTTCACAAAAGCTACCCAATGTATGTTTGTCTCAGCAGCTGTTTCCCCAAACCTCAGCCCCGGAGCTTCTCCTACATCCTCGAGGAGCAACTCACTGACGGTCCCCACACTGCCCGGTGAGGTCCAGCCCCCTGTGGCATTTCCTGCCCTGGTTTCTCCCTGTGGGTGGGCTGACCATGAGGCCTCTCACCTTGCAGGCTTCCCAGGCAGACACCCTGTTAGGGCCCCTCCCCGGGGGCTCCCAGCTGGGCCTGGCTGGGCTGCTTCAGGGGCGGTGGGTGTATATTACTGTGGGGTGTGGAGCTAACATGGGGAGACAGATCTCTCTAGCCCAGGGTGAGGTAGGCTGGGTGAGCACAGGGGCAGGGTTGTGGGTAGGGGCTGTGGCTTGCACTCTCTGCCTAGAGAAAAGTCAGAGAGAGGTCATTTCAGATCCTTTATTTGGGCCACTCTTGGCTTTTGGTTTCTGTCCTTTCATTAGGCTTGTTCTGGGCCACACCCTCAGGTCAGCAAGGGAAGGAAGGTGCCAGGGGGAGTAGCCAGCCCTTGTCAAAGCCGTGGGGCAAGCTCAGGCTCAGGCCAGGCAGCCTGGGTCCAGATCCCGGTGCTGACACGCCTTGTGCGACCTTGCTCTCCCTCTGACTCAGTTTCCTTGTGCGGTTTCTGTGATGATTAAATGAGGATTCACCTCAGAACCTGGCATGTGAGAGATACTCAACACATGGTGATGTTATTGGCTCCCAGGCCTGAGGAAGATAAGGGGGACATTCTGGGGAAGTAGACATGTTTTGCTAAAGGAAGGGCTGAGGGTGTGGGGTACTGGACGTCACTCACCAGTGTCTGGACCATTCCAGGTTTGGATGCATGCAGTAGCCTGCAGTCCCTTCTATCTGGAGCACCAACACAGGTAACAGGGGCCCCATTCAGGTTTTCTATGCCATCTGGTCTCTCCTCCTACCCCTTAACCCTGAAAGGACCTTCACGACCCACTGAAATGAGGGTGCTGGGTGGGGGAGACATCTATGCCACCACTAGAGGCCTCCTTGGGGGTATTTCAAGAGGAGATGTGATCCCTTCACATTACTGACTGACTCGTGTTTAATTTCTCCAGCAGAAGGGGGATGAGGCCGAAGTCTCTTCACCTCACCTTGGCGAGCCTGTGAGTTTGAGCTCTGCCCAGTTTGGGTGTGGGAGACACGGTGCCCCAGAAGCCTGAGCTGGCCTTGGGTAGCCTGTGAGGGGGTGAACATGAGGGGTCAAGGCTGGGGAAGCATGAAGTTTCCTCTGCCCCATTGTGACAGGCAGTCTGAGATGGAGGGAGTAAGGAGGCAGGATTCAGTGGGGGTGACCTCCATGGTGATCTGGCTGTAGCCCGGTACCACTAGCCAGTGACCAGGGGGACCACTGGGCCCAGCAAGAGCTAGGCAAGACTGCTGCTCTAGTGAGCACCACAGGAAAGCTCCAGTCCCTGGTTGGGATTTTTCCTGGGGGCAGCCAGGAAAACCTCATCTCTCCCTCACACAAGCACTCAAGAGGGTATTGAGGGCAGCTTACAATACAGTCTCATCTAGAACTGGGTCTGGGTTAGAGTCCTCTGGGAGAGTTGCAGCACGCATCTAGAAGAGCCACACAAATATTCAGGCGTAGCCCAACCTGCTCCTCACAAAGCAGGTTTCCCTTGGGCAATGAAAGGAGCGTAAACTGAGCAGTAAGCTATCACTTTTGTGAGGGTTACCTCATCTGATTATCCTGAACCTCTTTTGGGTTGTGGAACTCTCTGAGAAATTGTTAAAGCTGTGGATTCTCTTCCCAGAAAAAGACGTACATCATGCACACACACACATGCACATATATTTCTATATGATTTCAGAGGGTTCACAAACCTGATGGGAAATCTGAATCCCTAAAAGTTAAGGGCTTTGCTAGGCACAGCCAGGACTAGAATCTGGGACAAATGAGTCAAGGTCAAAACACGTGACCGCTTCCAAGCTGCCCTCTCTTCCACTCTTCTCCCCAGCTCCTAGCCCTTTGGAAGTTCTGGCAGGTTTTAAATAGCAGATCGCTGTCCTGTGTGTTTTTACAAGCCTTAGGCTTGTCTGTGGGTCCTCTTTACTGGCTCAGACTTCTACGCAGCTTTCAACCCTACACACACACCCCTTAGCAGGGTCTATGGGTCAGAGGCCCCACAGCAGAAGTGGCCCCACCTGTCTCCTCCTCAGCCTGCCTCCAGGGTCCTAGTTCTACCTTGTCTCTTTCAGAATATCCCCAAAGGGCTAGCTGACCGGAAGCAAAATGACCAGAGGAAAGTGTCTCAGGGCAGGCTAACTCCTCGCCCTCCCACAGTTGAGAAGTCCAAAGAGATTGCAATAGAACAAAAGGAAAACTTTGATCCCCTCCAGTGCCTAGAAGCCCCACCTAAAGGCCCAGCTTCTGGCATAGGCTGTGGTGGGAAAATGGCTCTGAACAGCCCCCAGCCTGGCCCTGCTGAGAGCGAGCTGGACAAGCTACTCCTGAAAACAGCCAGGGAGGGCAACCCTCTGCCCCGAAGTCCAGCCCAGGGCTCTGGAGGGGCAGTACCCCCAGACCCCCAGGGCAAAGGCACAACTGGAGAGCCAGCGGGATCCAAGGTTGCCTCCAAAGCCGAGCCTCTGCCCCTTCCTTCCCGGCCACCCTTGCTTCGGGGGGTCTCCCGGGACAGTGCCCCTGAAGAACCTGGCCCCCGGCTGCAGAAAGTGCTTGCCAAGTTGCCCCTGGCAGAGGAAGAGAAGCGTTTTGCAGGCAAAGCCAGCAGCAAGGTGGCCAAGGCACCTGGACTCAAAGACTTTCAGATACAAGTGCAGCCTGTGAGGATGCAGAAACTGACCAAGCTCCGAGAGGTGGGTTATGGGAGTCAGCTGGGGTGGTGGGGGGAGCACTGCTCCAGGTCCCCCCTGGACGGAAGACCACTGGGTTGAGCTGGGCCCTGGGGCAGGGCAGTTTTGGCCTGGACTTGGGCCTTACAGGGGGCCCTAAGCTTCCCAACCCTGATAAATCAGGTCCACGGTGCAGCATGTTCTTCACAAACACGTTTCAGGTGCTCTAACCCCACTTGCTAGTGTGGGGTCAGTGTGGGATATAGTTGCCACACAATGCCATATTTCAGAGGCAGGTGGCATATGGAGGCGCATGGGCCCTCAGTCCTGGGCTGAGTCTCCCCACTTCCAGCTGGTGCTGGTGGCTCATAAACAGGAAGCCCTTGATGGAGTGCCTTGTCATGCCCAGGACTGGATTAGGCAAGGATGAAATAGCTTTTTCGTTTATCATGCCCCCCAAGCTTTCCTTCCTGATGTCTATTAACAAATGGCCTCAAAGCCATCCCCAAGTATAATATTGGCTATGTTATTGGCTATGTGGGGCTGTTCCCCACAGTGGTGAATTTCTTCCAGCATCCACAATGTCCTCCAACTTTTACTGGCCATTAAACCAGGCATGTTGGTCTCTCATGGGGCTGCCACCCTATGCAGGGGGTGACTGGGGGTTTTCAGAGATACAGGGGAGAAAGACCATGGTATGAGTGACAGAAGAGGTCAACAGGACAAAGGAGTTTTATCCAGTCCCCATTTCCCCAGAGGGCCAACTGAGGCCACAGGCAAAGGCAACCAGGACTCCACAGGGTAGGACCTGGCACCCCCAGAACTTGAGCTGGACAAGAGTCTCCTGGCTCCTTTATAGAGAGCCATGGGACAGGAAAGGAAGAGAGGCACTCAGTAGCAGTCAAGCACAAGCGAGGGGGTTTCTGTGCTAGCAGGAACACACTCTAGTGCTGACAACTGTCCTATGTAGAAACCTTCCATGATGCTGAGTCGGAGGATCCGGGGGAGCTGGGGCCTGGCTGCTGATGTTAACATTTTATGCGGAAGACCCCACCCAGTCAGGAAGGCCTCACTGATTAGTGGGTCACACAGGCCTGGAAGGGCTGCTTGTGGTGGGCCTTAGTCCTAGATCTCTTGGGAATGTGGCACCAAGAGGGCCCAGGTATTTGCCTCCATGGACCTCTGGCAATGAAGAGAGGCCAGGCCCAGGCCAGAAGTCACCCCTACCCAATACCTCTGCAAGCTTTCTCTGCAGCAAAGAAAGACACAAAGAACCTGAGGGGCCCGTCCCACTAACCTCCGCTCTGGCAGCTGAATATCCCCATCTCAACCCACTGTGCAGAGAGCTGATTGGCTCTGGGCCTGTGGCTTGCTGAGGAAACAGGTGAAGGGCCCTAGCCTGTGCCTTCTGTTGGGCTACAAGTCTCATCCTTTCCCTCTTTATTCAGGGGGCAAACCATTCAATTGGCCTCTAATATACAGGAGACTGAAAATCTCTTAGTAGCACCAATCACAGGAGTGAGAAGCTGGGTCAGGCATTTCCACTTGGGAGCACTGACCTGGTGCTGATAGACTTGGAGCTGACCTATGCCACACACTGTGACCAGAATCCCCATCTCTTTCCCAGTTCTGCCTGCTGAGGTCCCAGGCAGGACAGTGACTGCTGAGCCTGCTGCCTTGAGGCAGCAAGTTTCAGGCCTCATTTGTCTGGAGAGTGTCACAACTCAAGAGGTGTCATAACAGGCCACTGGGAATGTGTGGGCCAGGCCAATGCCTGGAGTGGACACTCAATGCCTGAAACAATCGGGCAGGAAGCTCCGGCAGCTCGGAGAACAGCCATGAACTGAGCAAAGATTGTTTCCTGTGGCAGCCCCGTACACATCAGGGGACCCTCCCATCCCCACAGCCTCCGGCTCTGCTTCTGTCTGTCTGTCCTCCTTCAACCACAGCGTGGCTGTGGCTGTGGCCGGCAGCTCATTCACCCTGAGGCCCACAGACTTATTTACAAAGCAGATAGCTCTTACCTCAAGGGACATGGTGCCACTGATCGGTTTCAGGTACCTTTATGGGCTGGGAGAAGGGCTGTCTTTCTGATGCCCCTCAGATGTCACCTTGTCATGATTCTCCACCGACTTTGGAGGCTGCCCTGAGGTCCCCCACAGTAGTTTGAGTGGCCACAGAGCCATAGACAGAACTGAGGAAAGAGTCCAGTCTGACACCTCATCTGAAATGTTGTCTTTTGCTTTTTCTGAAAAAGGAGCACATCCTGATGAGAAATCAGAACTTAGTGGGGCTCAAGCTTCCAGACCTTAGCGAAGCGGCTGAGCAGGAAAAAGGTAGGTGGGGTCAGGGCAGATGCCCTCCTCAGGCCAGGGCTGGTCAAAGAAGGTGAAAGTCTAACCCCTAGATTTCCTGGCAGAGCCTTTGTCGGTGTCAGCTGTGAGTGTGGATGTACCCAGAGCAGGCTCTCAGTTAACATTAGCAGATGAATAAATTATCAGATCCTACTTCCTGCCCACTCAGAGAACCTCTAAACTGTCTCCTTTCAACCAGTTCTCCTTCTAGACCCTGCTAGCCTTCCTTGAGCCTTGTTAGCACCTCTTGGGTCTGAAAGGGTGACCCAGGCCTGAACTTTTGCCGCTTCCTTTTCCTTTTCCTCTCACACCCAGGAAGCCACCCAAATAGAACAGTTCCTCTTTTCAAGACATCAGAGTCATCTCTTGCTATCTGATCTGCTGTCACCACAAAGTCCAAACCCCAGCCCTTCCTTCTCCGTGAGTGCAAGTCCCCACCCAGCCATTCTGCCAGACTCATCCTCTGAAAAATGAGACTTCGGGTATTTCCCCCCTGACCTCCTCCCATCCCCCTGCCCCCCACTGCCAGCCCTGGCTCACCGATCCTGATATCTCATATCCCATGCTGTATCTCATGCTACCCATGGTCAGTCTCAGCATAGAAGCCTTCTACTTAAGGATTATCATATGGGCATGTCCCCATGCCACCAACCATGCTGGGACACCCTGGTCTGAAATGCATATCAACTAACACCTACCTATTCAACATTAACAAGAAGATTCCCAGAAGTAAAATTTCTAACAATTTTTATTTTTTATTCTTGAATTATTATCATTAATATTATATTATTTTCCTTTTTATTTAATTTATTGGGGTAATTGGTTAGTAAAATCATATACCCGTATTTTTTGGACCATAAGACACACCTAGGTTTTAGAGGAAAATATGAAAAAAAAATTGAAGCAAAAAATGTGGTAAAATATTTAATAACATAAATAACATATTATTTCACCAATGTAAATATAAACAGAACTCAACAGCAGCATTAACAACCATTATTCCTCCCAAATTTTGGGGGGTGCATCTTATAGTCCAAAAATACTGTAGGTTTCAGGTGTACAATTCTGTAACACATCATCTGTGTATTGTATTGTGTGTTCACCACTCCAAGCCAACAGTTTTTTAAAGTACTAATTTTTTAAAACATTAACCATTTTAGAGGAAACCTTTGGAAAAGTTATTATACACTGCTCTATGTTTAATTTTTAACTTGTTTATTAGATCACATTCAAAACACTAGGAAAAGATTTACCTTAAAATTTCACCCATAACTCCATAAATTCTGAAGAAGTAACAATTTCTATTTTTTCTGGTGTTTACCTGAATTTATTATTTTTCACAATTAATTTAATGGTAAATATAACTTCCTGTACCTACTTTTTAAATTAATTTGTTTGGTTTTTATTATTATTCTATTACAGTTGTCTCAATTTTCCCCAGTTGCTATCCCCTGCTCCGCCCACCCACCCCCATCTCCCATGTGGCCCCCCCCCACAGTCAATCACCACCCTGTTTTCCATGTCCATGGGTCATTTATATTTGTTTTTTAACTAGACCCTTCCCCTTTCTTTCTCCCTTATCACCCTCCCCCAGACCCTCTGACAGGGACCATCTGGTCCCTGTGAGTTTGTTACTTGTTTCCATGCCTCTGGTTCTATTTTGCTCGTTGGTTTATTTTGTTCATTAGGTTCCTGTTATAGGTGAGATCATATGGTATTTGTCTTTCACTGCCTGGCTTATTTCACTTAACATAATACTCTCCAGTTCCATCCATGCTGTTGCGAAAGGTAGGAGCTCCTTCTTTCTTTCTGCTGTGCAGTATTCCATTGTGTAAATGCACCATAGTTTTTTTTATCCTCTCATTTACTGGTGGGCACTTAGGTTACTTCCAGCACTTGACTATTGTAAATTGTGCTGCTCTAAACATTGAGGTGTATAGGTTCTTTTGATTGTGATTCTTAGGGTATAATCCTGGCAGTGGAACTGCTGGATCAGAAGGCATTTCCATTTTTAAGGGTTTTTTTTAGAAAATTCCCTATTGTTTTCCACAGTGGCTGCACCAGTCTGCATTCCCATCAACAGTGTACCAGGGTTCCCTTTTCTCTGCATCCTCACCAGCACTTGTTGTTTGTTGAATTGTTAATGATGGCCATTCTGACCAGTGTAAGGTGATATCTCATTGTGGTTTTAATTTGCATCTCTTTGATGACTAGTGATGTTGAGTATCTTTTCATATGCCCATGGGCCCTCTGTATATCCTCCTGGGATAAGTGTCTGTTCAGGTTCTTTGCCCATTTATTTTTTATTGTATTGTTTGTCTTCCTGGCATTGAGTCATATGAGTTCTTTATATATTTTGGAGATCAAACCCTTGCCCAAGGTATTGTTGGGAAATATATTTTCTCATACAGTTGGTTCCTTTTTCATTTTGATGATGTTTTCTTTAGCTGTGCAGAAGCTTTTTAATTTGATGTAGTCCCATTTGTTTACTCTTTCCTTTTGTTCCCTTGACCTAGAGGATGTATTGGCAAAAATATTGCTGTGTGGGATATCTGAAATTTTACTGCCTATGTTTTCCTCTAGGACTTTTATGGTGTCACATCTTATGTTTAAGTCTTTTCCACATTTTTAGTTTATTCTGGTGTATAGTATAAGTTGGTGGTCTAGTTTCATTTTTTTGCATGTACCATTCCAGATCTCCCAGCACCATTTATTGAAGAGGCTAATTTTACTCCTTTTTATGCTTCTTCCCCTTTTGTCAAATATCAATTGACCATACAGACATGGGTTTTTCAGGGCTCTCTATTCTGTTCCATTGATCTATGTGTCTGTTCTTATGCCAGTATCATACTGTTTTGATATAGTGACCTTGTAGTACAGTTTGATATCAGGTATTGTGATCCTTCCTACTTTGTTCTTTTCCCCCCTCAAGATTGCTGGGGCTATTCAGGGTCATTTTTGGTTCCATATAAATTTTTGAAATATTTGTTCTAAATTTGTGAAATATATCATTGGTATTTTAATAGAGATTGTTGAATCTAGAGATTGCTTTGAGTAATATGGGCATTTTAATCATGTTGATTCTTTCAATCCATGAACATGGTATATGCTTCCATTTGTTTGTATCTTCCTTAATTTCTTTCTTCAGTGTTCTGTAGTTTTCCAGGGATAGGTCTTTTACCTCCTTGGTTAAATTTATTCCTAAGTATTTTATTTTTCTAATCCATTGCTATAGTAAATGGGATTTTTTCTTAGTTTCTGGTTCCAATATTTCATTGTTTCTGTACAAAAGTGCCTTTAATTTCTGAATATTGACTTTGTATCGCTCTATTTTGCCAAATTCACTTATTAGGTGGAATAGTTTTTTTTGGTGGAGTCTCTGGGGTTTTCTATGTACACTGTCATGTTGTCTTGCAAATAATGACAGTTTTACTTCCTCCATTCCAATTCGGATGGCTTTTATTTCTTTTTCCTGTGTGATCACTGTGGCTAAAACTTCCACTTCTCTGTTGAATAAAAGGGGTGAAAGCAGACATCCTTGTCTTCTTCCTGATTGTAGGGGGAAAGCTTTTAGTTTCTGCCCATTGAGTATGATGTTGGCTGTAAGTTTCTCATATGTGGCTTTTTTATGTTGAGGTATGCTCCCTTTTCCCACTTTGCTGAGCATTTTAATAATAAATGGGTGCTGTACTTCATTAAATGCATTTTTATCATCTATTGATATGCTCATGATTTTTGTCTTTCATTTTGTTTATGTGGTGTATTACATTGATTGATCTGCAAATACTATATCATCCTTGCATCCTTGGGATGTATCCCACTTGATCATCGTGTATGATCTTTTTAATGTATTGCTGGATCCAGCTTGCCATTATTTTGTTGAAGGTTTCTGTTACTACTTTTTAAAATTTACTTCATAACTAATTTCATGTATTTTGACTCATTCTCATATTCATCATTTAATGGGTACATATTATCCTTTTATATTGTTGTATCTATTGTTGGGTATTTCAGATGTTTACAGTTCTTTTAACTATGATGAACAACACTACTATAAACAACTTTGTACTTGTAGTTTATTTCATTCTTCCTTTAATTTACTCCCTTGGGATAAGATCTCAGGCTTGAGAGTCACTGGGTTAAAGTGCAGAAACATTTGCATTTACTGAATTGCTTCCAAAATATAAAGCTCCTGCAAGTACTGAGCCAGGAGCATTTCTCCTGAGGAAAACCAGCACCAGAATTTGCTTTGCTTTGCTTTGTTTTGTTCCTTATTGGCCAGAATACAGTGAGAACCCGATAATCAATAATAATAACTATTGCAATGTATTATGAATAGTGTGAAATGCCACTTCATTATTAGCTTAATTTGCTTTCAAGCAAGCTCAAACTTTAAATTTCTATATACTTATTTCCTTTTTTTCCTTATTAGGTGAATTAACATTTGAGTCTTGGGTTTTTTGTTGGTTTGTTTGTTTTTGTTGGTAATGTGTAGAAACTATAAATATTAACCATTTGTTGGTTGTATTTTTCTTTGTTTTCATTCTATCATTTTTTGCTTTTAAACAAATTTTGTGTTATTTTTAGAGAACTCAAAGTTTTCATATAATCTTTTTTACCTATCTTTTTCTATGAAAAGTCCTCCATTATTTATATCATTATAAAACTATTAATTCTATCTAATTAGTATAGCAAGTCTATTTTCTACTAATTTATCTATAGTTTGATCTACTTATATTTATTTTGCTAATACCTCTGAAATTTATTTTAATATACAGGTATTTGAGAATTTAAGATCTTGTTACCTCAGTCATATTTTGATAGTGTCTATATTTCTTGTTACATCATGGATTAGATAATTATATACTACTTCTTTTTTATATATTCCAAAGACTAGTACTGAACCTTTGATTCTGTTTTATTCTCATCAGAACTGTATCATTTAATCACTGCCACCCTGTCATATCTCTAGAGTGCAGTGG